GGTAAGGCTGTTCAAAGATATTCTCATAGCCCCTTCCGTCTAAATTTGCGGCTAATAAGTTAATAATTAATTTGGTACCCTACCAACAATTTTGACCTGCCAAATTGAAATTCGGTGAGTTTGTAATTTACTCCCTGGAAATCCTACCGGCCCTTATAGTAAAATAAAATTTTCGCCAAAATTAAATTTTTATGGCCGCAGCCTTTCGGCAAGTAAGCCCTGCAGAAATGCAATTCAGACCACATTATATATAACACATTACATTCCACTTCGTGAAACTCCTGACTCCAGATTTTATTTTTTCTCAGTGCACCAAAAATACCCCATTGCACCGATAACCCACCATCGAAGGCATCACACAACATTTAACACACACATATGAATGCATCCATATGCACATATATGAAATGGCAAATACCATCACTACTGTAGACATTGCCCATACGTTTAGTGAGTTACAGCATTGTTTTGATTTTGATAAATTAAATTACAAGCATTTTTTAAACAAAAAAAAAATAATTTACATTTTATGAAAGCAAAGCAAATATTTTGTGTTTAGAACACTAACACACAAAAAAAACGATAGACAGACATTATTTGGGGTTATAGAATTTTTATACATATAACTAAACGGCATAGAATTTGGTAGTGTTTAAAATCTAGGATTTGAAACAAAACCAGTGGGTTAAGGTCCATCAAGAAAAGAATATTTTAACTATTTAACAAAAAGATTTCAATTTCATGTATGGTTTGAATGGAATCCAAATTAAGGGAACCCCCCCCCCCCCCCCCCACCCCCCCATTCACGATTTTTTTTTTTTAAGATTTTAAATGGCCTGGTAAATGAATATAAATGCTTGTTAAGGTTTGTAACTGTGCACATATATATTTGAGTTTAAAAAGGAAGAAAAATAATTTACAAACATTTTTGTTGTTGTTTTTTGTGATCAAAGAAAAGTCCTTATTTTTGATGGCGGGCATGATAACTCCTCACTGGAACATCGGAATCCGAAAATTCCAACGGTGTTAGAAAGAGTACATGTCTGGCTCACGTATGAACTAGGATTATAGACTTCACTCTAAAATTAACAAAATGGCGGACCTTTGAAAAAATATTTTTGGTAAATCGCCGATTTTTTACCAAAAACCAAGTTAGAAAATAAGGAAGATCTTCACCGATTGGCTTTATCCTAGTTCATATGATACCTATACACACACAGAGAAACGTGTAAAAATTTGGAATCAATTGGGTTATTAGTTTTTGCGATATCGTGCCCGCCATTCACAAAAGAGAAAAACGCGTTTAAAGTCACTTGATGCTGACACAATAAATCGGCTATATCTTCAAGAGTTCTTGAGATTTTCTCTTGAAATTTTGTAGGGACATTCTTGAATTAGTGTAGATTTGAATTAAATAAAAAAATGTTGACCCCGAGAATGGGGGGCCCCTTAAACAAACCACCCTTGTATGTCAAGTAGTCCTTTGATTAAAAATTATTCTTTAAATAATATACGCTTGTAAGGAAGTCATTTGGACCAAACCCGTTTCAGAAAATTTTTTATTTCATCCAAACTTTGCCCATTTTATTTCTTCCAAACTTACTTCAAGTCCGAAGTTGGGGAATATCGGTCCACTCCTTCTGGTACCTTCCACACAGGCAGGTACCGATATCCTCCGCAGGTGAAATGATTACAACAGAGTCTTAGAACCAAACCAAAACGCGGAATAAATCAGATAACTATTTTAATATAAACAAGTGAAAAAGCGTTAAGTGTTAAGCATAGATATACTGGCAGGTACTAGAAATGAAAATATTGGGAACATACCAAAAAGTGGACCTATACCGACATGTCTAAAAACGGATTATGTAAACCATAATAAAAATTTCAGAAATTTTTAATTGATAATTCAAATTCGAAGATGGGGAATATCGGTCCATATTTATATATATATATATATATATATATATAATAAAATAATAATAATATATATAAACCAGTGAGCGGAGCAGTATAGTCGGACGGGGCCGACCATATGATACCCTACACAACTACCACGACCCTTAACTTCCTGTGGATTTTTATTCGGAACCTGGGAAATATTTCGTGATAGTTGCACTCTCTTGCCCGAGTAGAGGTCAGAAGCTCTTCCATACACTGACATATTTTCCGAACATCCGAATCAGTACAGTCCTTCTAATTACTTGTCCAGATTCCCTTCAGAGTGGGTTGTGTTGTGATGTTCGGTTTATATTTGTGGCCTATAGATCGACTCAAAAAAATCCAAAAAAAAAATAATAATAAGTTTTCGGTCCACTTCATCCCAAAATTATTATCCGATCATCACCGAAAATTATAGGCGTTGTCCTTGACCAAAACTGGTACTTCATGGAACATTTCAAAGCAATCAGCGATATATTTTAACCCTCCAGTGTGGTAATGGGTTACTAAATAATATCTGAACACGTAAGCACCTGTAAATATTTACGTGTAACTCCCACATCCGAATACATACGACAATATAATTCATATCAATTTAAAGGTCAACCACTCCTCTAGGACATACTATCAACTTCTCTATTCTATGTCCTTCAGGGGTAAATATACAAGCCATAGAATACAAATTTTGTCACTTTCACACAAAAGTCAGGGTCCATTTGACCCGCTAAATATTGATCGATCTTTATGAAAACATGCATGCTTATTCTTTGGCCCGATCCCCTTCTCCATGCAAAAAATTCGCGAAGTTTGGGCCATAATTGCGGCCTCTGGAGCTACCAGAAAACCCGATAAAAATAAGTATTTGGTCCATTTCATCCCCTAAATATTAACCGATCTTTACAAAAAACAATAGGGGTCTTCATTGGGCCAAATCCATTCTACATGCAAAATTTCGTGAAGATTGGTCCATAACTGTGGCCTGTATCGTGTTTACAAATTATAATGGACAGACGGACGGACGGACACACATGTCTAGATCGATTCAGCTAGTCGAGATATGACTATCGGTATACTTAAAGGTGGGTCTAGGACCAATATTTCGCGGCGTTACAAACATTTTTTGCTGCACAAAGCTATAATACCCTGACAACATAGTTGTGTAGGGTATAAAAAGGGGGTTATATGGAGACTATCCTAAACAGGGGACGAACAATAATAATTTTTGGTAGAGAGATTTGTTACCATATACGACTACAAAATAACAAATTGCAGCAAATTCGGTTAAAAATCACGGTCAAGAACCCCAAAATACCGAAAATTGGGGGTACCCTTATATGGGGGCCATCCGAAAAAATGGGCCAATATTCATAATTTTTTGTGGGAAGATTTGGTAGCTATTAAGGACTCAAAATACTAAATTACAGCCAATTCGGTAAAAAATCCGGTCAAACACCCCAAAAACTGGAAATTGGGAGGTACCCGTATATGGGGGCTACAAGAAAAAGTGGACCTATATTTATAATTTTTTGTGGAGACATTTAATACCAAAGAACCCAATGTAGCAAATTTCAGCGAATTCGGTTGAAAACCGCGCTCAAGAACCCTAAAATACCGAAAATTGGAGGGTACCGTTATATGGGGGGTACCAGAAAAAATTGACCTATATTTATACTTTTTAGTAGCGAGATTTGCTTCCCAATAAGAGCTCAAAGTACCAAATTTCAGCGAATTAGGTTGAAAAACACGCCCAGGAACCTCAAAATACCGAAAATTGGGGGGTACCCTTATATGGGAGCTATGCCTAAACGTGGACCGATATATCCCATCTTCGAACTTGACCTGCCTGCAGACAAAAGACAACCCTATGCAAAATTTCAGCACCATATCTCAATTCCTTCAGAAAATAGCGTGATTACAACAGACGGACGGACGGACATGGCTAGATCGTCTTAGAATTTTACCCTGATCAAGAATATATATATATATATATACTTTATAGGGTCGGAAATGATTATTTCGATGAGTTACAAACGCAAAAACAAAATTCATATACCCTCCATACTATGGTGGAGAGTATAAAATTAAATTTTAAAATTAGAAATATTTTCAAGTGCAAGTATTTATGTTGTAATACATTTTTTGTTCCACACTTCCATTGTTCCGATTATACATACTCGTAGACTAATGACGTCTTATCAATACCCAAGTGCCGATGCCTTGGTGACCCTGAAAAGAGTTTTTTGGAAACTATGGCATTGGGTTGCGTCTAAGCACATTTTGTGATAAGCCTATATCAATATATCTGAATCTGAAATGTTTGGAAATTCAAATTAGGTTTAAAAACATAAAATTTGTGTTGCTTCGTGCTTATTACCATTGAAGGCATATAGACATATTTTCAAAGATATGCGCTAGTCTTTGGCCTTATGGATATTCTGGTAAAAAAATACCCAAGCTTTTGGTAAATGATAACATATATTAAGAACTAACCGCCAGAGGTTAAACTTTAGAAAATATTGTTGAAGAAAGTGATAGTCCTTGAGAAAATATTTTTTTAAAGGTCCACGCCTATTGATAGCCTTTGAGAAATTATTTTTAAAAAAACCATGCCAGTTGGTAGTCCTTGAAAAAACTCAATGCCAGTTGGTAGTCCTTGAGAAAAAAAATCTACGCCTGTTGATAGTCCTTGAGAAAATATTAAAAAAATCAACGCCTGTTGATAGTCCTTGATCAAATATTTTTTTAAAAAATCCACGACTGTTGATAGTCTTTAAATTTTTATATTTTAAAAAGCGGCTTTCATAAAAATTAACTTAATATACGAAAAATCCGGCCTTTTGAGCATAAGTAATGGCCTACGTTTTTTAACCAACTCGTATATCAATTGTCCAGTGGGAGAAAGCAAATACAGGCTCAATTCTTTGATAAGGTGTGACGTTTGCAAAAGGCGATAAGACCGGCATTTCAGTTTTTGATAATATTTTGTGTTTGTTGATTTAATAAATTTTTACATACAGATTTCAAAAACAAACAAAAAATGAATAAAATTTAAATTTCAGTTGTTATTTTGAAATCAATACAAACGGGACGCAATGAGATTTTGGTTTTGCGCGGTAAATGAATTTCTCAAACCATGTTTTACAAAAAAAATCTGAAATATTTCCCTCATTGTTTCAGTTATTAGGACTATATTTTTTCCCCACCATTTGGGCAGAATGTTTAAGTGAGTCATGTGCCCAACAGCTGATGGAGACGCTGGATTTGAAATATCATCAAACGGCAAAGAAATTAAGTTTATATCCCGATTTCGAGGTGGGAGCGGAAGTGGCACTGCGCAATGATTTACTACCGCTTTTGGCATCAATGCGAAAATTCGATTGCCATAATTTTGCAGATCCTCTGCTAAAGCGACAATTTGAAATATTATTACGCGATCTAAAATATCCCGAAATTTCAATGAAATTCCGAAGACACACTTACATTTTGAGAACAGTGGGAAAACAAAAATTCACCTGCGATCGTAGCAGGCCCAACAAATGTAAATTAATATCCTATATACGACATATAAAACCGATTATTACCAATAGCAATGATCCCGATGAAATAATGTGGTATTGGCGTGAGTGGCGTAATCATTTGCCGGAAGAAATTAAAAATGCCTTGAATTTCTATGTAGATTATTATCGAAATTTGTCAATGGAAGCTTCGGCAAGGCCATCAGCCATTTGGTATGAACGTTATGATAATCCGAATTTTCTCGAAAATTTGGAAGAATATATGAAAACAATTGAACCGCTTTACAGAGAATTACATGGCCATTTGAGAGAAGCTTTGAGGATGAAATATGGACCTGAAATAATACCTACTTCAGGATTGATACCCCACCACTTTTTAGAACAGGCTCTCTATCAGTCGTGGAAGAAGGAATCGATTTTAGAAAATCCCTATCCGCATAAGAAAATGCCCAACCTCTTACCGGAGCTCAGAGGGAAGAGATGGAAACCAATGGATTTAATCGAGATGAGTGGTGGATTTTTTGAATCTATGGGTTTTCCAGCATTTTCGGAGTAAGTAAATCACGCAACTTCTTAAAGAATAGTTTCCAAAGGACTTTAAACAGGCGGGTATTTTTTAAGAAAATAGCTCAAGGACAATCAACAGGGTTGGATTTTTGAAAAGACTATCAACAATGTTTTTTTTAATTTAAAAGACTTAGATTTGTATACCCTTCACCACACTGTGGTACAGGGTATTATGTCTTTGTGCATATGTTTGTAACATGCGAAAATGATCGAGATATACCCATGGTTCCTTTTGAGAATATCCATAGAATCACTTTCTGAGTCGATTTATGCATGTCCGTCCGTCTGTCCGTCTGTTGGTGTTAAATTGTAAACAAAGTACAGGTCGCATTTATGATCCGAATTGGATGAAATTTGGCACAGCTCACTTGTTTGGCCCAAGGACAAAGCCTATTGAAATTGGGAAAAATCGGTTCAGATGTCGATATAGCTCCCATATCCGATTTGAGGTAAATGGTACACCAAAGTCCCTATATATCTTTCGATTTGCACGAAATTTGGCACAGCGTAATGAATAAGGTCTAGAATGATGTGTGCAAAGTTTCGTAAAAATCGGTTCAGATTTAGATATAGTTCCCATATATATCTTCGCCCGATTTTAGGTAAATAGTCCACGAAAGTCGCTGAAAATCTTTTGATTTGCCCGAAATTTAGCACAGTGTAATGAATAAGGTCTAGAATGATATCCGCCAAGTTTCGTAAAAATCGGTTCAGATTTAGATATAGTTCCCATATATATCTTCGTCCGATTTAAGGTAAATTGTGTACCAAAGTCCCAATATATCTTTCGAATTGCACGAAAATTGACACAGCGTACTAAATTAAGTCTAGAATGATGTGTGCAAAGTTTCGTGAAAATCGGATCAGATTTAGATATAGCTCCCATTTATAGCTTCGCCCGATTTTAGGTAAATAGTCCACGAAAGTCCCTGGAAATCTTTTGATTTGCACGAATTTTGGCACAGCGTAATGAATAAGATCTAGAATGATGTCTGCCAAGTTTCGTGAAAATCGGTTCAGATTTAGATATAGCTCCCATATATCTCTTCGTCAAATTTAAGGTAAATTGTGTACCAAAGTCCCTATATATTTTTCCATTTGCACGCAAATTGGCACAGCGTACTAAATTAAGTCTAGAATGATGTGTGCACAGTTTCGTGAATATTGGTTCCGATTTAGATACAGCTCCCATATATAGTTTCGGCCGATTTTAGGTAATTGGAGCACCAAAGTCCCTAGAAATCTTTTAATTTGCACGAATTTTGACAAAGCGTACTGAATGAAGTCTAGAATGATGTGTGCAAGGTTTCGTGAACATCGGTTCAGATTTTGATATAGCTCCCACATATATTTTCGTCCGATTTTATGTAACTGGTGTACCAAAGTCCCTATATACCTTTCGATTTGCATGAATTTTGGTGTAGGGTGTTGTTTTTTTTTTTTTTTTTTTTTTGGTTTTTTTGCTAAGCTTCGCGAAAAGATCCATATCTAGGCCGATTGACACAAGGTACTGATGTAATATAAATTAGTCTCTGACAAGTTTCCCCGAAATCGGTTCAGATATAGATATATAACAAAAACGCGTCGTCTGTTAGGGTACATATGTAGAATATACCCAAAGTGGTGAAGGGTATCATATAGGCGGCGAAGCCCGTCTTTACTACTTTCCTTACTGGTTTAAAAATATATTCTCAAGGACTATCAACAGGCGTGTTTTTTTTTTGGAAAATATTTTCTTAAATACTATCACAGACGTGGATTTTTTTATAATATTGTCTTATAGACTATCATCAGGCATGGATTTTTTATAATATTTTATTAAGAACTATCATCAGAGATGAAAATATTTTTTGAAATATTAATTTCTATAATTCGTTTTTTGTTTTAGAGAACTAAAACGTGATCACTTTTACGAAATTGAAGATCACAAGGGGGGACCGGAATGCAAATCGTATATTTATACACATGGTGAAATCGAGCTGAATTATTGTCCGAAAGTTAATTACAAAAAATTACTCACAACTCATGGCGATATTGCTCATGTCGAATATGCACTTTTGAAAAATAACCTAACTGTGGGATTGAATCGAGAAGCTTGTCCTGGTTTTAGTAATGCAATAGCTGAGGCGGTAATACTTTCCGCATCGACACCCAAACACTTGCAACAACAATTGCACCTCTTGACCGAATACAATTACGACAATGAAATGAATTTGAATTTTTTGTTTCGAATGGTATGACATGAAGATTTTTTTTTTTTTTTTTTGTATTTTTAACATTTATTTAAACATTAATGGTACAGGCCGTCCATGCCCTGCTGTCCATACCCATGTATTTTGTACATGAGAAACTTTGGATCGATATAATTGATGGGAATATTAAACCTGCGGAATACAATTGCCACTATTGGAATCTTATGGCAAAGTATATGGGTGTGGGTCCAGCGGAGGAACCAACAGATCCCATGGCCTATGATATGCCCCATAGATTCTATGAGGGCTTGGTTGAGGAGACCCGTAGCACTAGGTATTGCGAAATATATTTTGAAAATATAAACAGTTAAGGCATATTTTCCCCTTTCAGAAAACTATTTGGAGAATTTTTGGGTTATCAAATTTATCGTGACTTATGCTTGGAAATTGGAGAATATAATCCTGGTGATCCTGAAAAGTCTTTGTTCAAATGTGATTTTGCAGGTAACCACAAGGCTGGAGATATCCTCAGGTAATTAATAGGGAATTGTGATACTTTCTGATCGATTACTTAATTTTGAAATTTTGTTTGCTATAACCCAGGAAAATTATGTCCGCTGGAGCTACAAAAACCTGGCAAGAAATTGCCAATGTCACAAAGTTGGATGGCTCTGCTTTTTTGGATTATTATGACCCACTTAAAACATGGATAACTGGTGAAAATATGGCAAACAACATAACTGTGGGTTGGCAATCACGTGATCGTAAGTACTAAAGTATTGAGTTTTAGGGAAAATTAATATAAGGAGTTTTTCATTATTCCAGATTGTGCCGATTCGCAGATAAATCAGAATGCCGTTTAAAGGGAATTTATATGTTTTAAATAAATTAATAAACAAATTTTGAAATCCAATTTGGATTTCTTTTTAAATTTTGTATTTTTTCACATATTTTCTGAAGGACTATTTAGAGGCTAGGTTTTTTAAATATTTTCTGAAGAACAGGAGTGGATTTTTTTATACCCTTCACCACACTGTGGTACAGGGTAGTATGTCTTTGTGCATATGTTTGAAACAGGCAAAAGGAAACAAGATAGACACATGGTTCCTTTTGAGAATATGCAGAATCACTTTTTAATTCGATTTCGCCATGTACATCGGTCCATTCGTCTGTCTGTCCATGTTAAATTGTAAACAAAGCACAGGTCGCATTTATGATTCGAATTGGGTGAAATTTGGCACAGCTCATTTATTTGGCCCAAGGACGAACCCTATTGAAATTGGGAAAATCGGTTCAAATTTAGATATATATCCTATATATATTTTCGTCCGATTTAAGGTAAATGGAGCACCAAAGTCTCTATATATCTTTCGATTTGCACGAAATTTGGCACAGCGTACTGAGCTAAGCCTAGAATGATATGTGCTAAGTTTCGTGCAAATCGGTTAAGATTTAGATATAGCTCCCATATATGTTTTCGTCCGATTTAAGGTAAGTGGTGCACCAAAGTCCCTATATATCTTTCGATTTGCACGAAATTTAGCACAGCCTACTGCAAATCGGGTTAGATTCTGACATAGCTCCCATATATCTTTTCGTCCGATTTAAGGTACATTGTGCACCAAAGTCCCTATATATCTTTCGATTTGCACGAAATTTGGCACAGCCTACTGAATTGAGCCTAGAATGATGTGTGCCAAGTTTCGTGCAAATCGGTTAAGATTTTGATATAGCTCCCATATATCTTTTCATCCGATTTAAGGTACATGGTGCAACAAAGTCCCTATATATCTTTAGATTTGCACGAAATTTGGCACAACATACTGAATTAAGCCTAGAATGATGTGTGTCAAGTGTGGTGAAAATCGGTTTAGATTTAGATATAGCTCCCATATATATTTTCGTCTGATTTAAGGTAAATGATGCACCAAAGCCTCTATATATCTTTCGAATTGCACGAAATTTAGCACAACATACTGAATTCAGTCTATAATGATGTGTGCCAAGTTTCGCGAAAATCGGTTCAGATTTAGTTATAGCTGGATTTTTTAAAAAAAATATTTTCTCATCAACAGGCGCGGATTTTTAAAAAAATTATTTTCGCCAGACGTGGATTTTAAAAAAATATTTTCTTAAGACGTGGTTTTTTAATGATTTCTCAATGACTATCAACTATTTTTAAAATATATTTTTCCAAGGACTATCAACAGGCAGGGACTTTTGTGTGTGGGTCCCATTAAAAACTTCATAGTACTTTTTTCCCCGTTTACGAATATTTTAAATTGTCATTTCTGTAAAAAAAAAAATATTTTATTTTTTTATTTCACGAACTAATTTTTTTTTTATCAAAATCCAAATGAATCCCAAAGACGTTCTAATGAAGGCCGTTCATTGTGAGCGTGACAAACGTTTGCTACAATCACAACACTACTATCAACTGGGCCTTGAACTGTTAAGGGAATTTCTTCACATCGAAAGAAATTCAAAGATTGCAAAACGATATTACGAACACATTGGCCAATATATTCAACGATCCAAAAAAGTCGACCGTCAAATAGCTCAACTTTTAAAAACTGGAGAATTTTTAGAATCGATTCGTATACACGAAAATTCTGAAGGCCATAGCTATGAAACAATGATTGGAAAATATTTCGATGGCGAAGTTAATGAAATCTATTTAGAAGAACCATATTTCCAGCAAATCTATCAATTGGAAAATTTCATAATATTTTTAGAAATGGCTGTCAAAAAGTGTCCCCATCTGAAATTCATAAAATTGGTTACGAATCGTGTACGATACGATAGTTATTTTCGAGATCTACAAACGAATTTACGTGCAAGAGGTATTGAACTCGTTGTGGATCGGGATAATCACTTGCATGATCGAAAGGTTGCGTTAAATACGGGTATTGTTATAAAAATTGGCCGCGGTTTACATATTTTCAAGGCGGCCAATTCACCCTTATCATTGGGTATAATGGATTATGATTTTCGTCGCTGTTTAAAAACTGATGTCGATATATGGCGTTCAGCAGCAAAGGCGTGATTTAAAAATTTTCAAAATTCTCAAAAATAAAAAAAATTGTTAATAAATCCATGGTTAAAATAATTCTAAAAGCTTCCAGGTTTATGTTAATATAATAAATTGTGGACATTTTTGAAATAAAAAATTCGAGGAACATGGATTAAATTTTTTTCAAGGTTTCGCAATAGACGTGATTTTTATACCCTTCACCACACTGTGGTACAGGGTATTATGTCTTTGTGCATATGTTTGTAACAGGCAAAAATAATAGACCCATGGTTCCTTTTAGAATATGCATAGAATCACTTTCTAAGTCGTTCGTCCGTTTGTCCGTCTGCCCATGTTAAATTGTAAACAAAGTACAGGTCGCATTTATGATCCGAAATGGATGAAATTTGGCACAGCTCATTTGTTTGGCCCAAGGACGAACCCTATTGAAATTGGAGAAAATCGGTTCAGATTTAGATATAGCTCCCATATTTATTTTCGTCCGATTTAAGGTAAATGGTGCAGCAAAGTCCCTATATACCTTTCGATTTGTACGAAATTTGGCACAGCGTAATGAATAAGGTCACGAATGATGTGTGCAAAGTTTCGCGAAAATCGGTTCAGATTTAGATATTCCTCCCATATATATCTTCGTCCGATTTATGGTAAATGGTGCACCAAAGTCCCTATATATCTTTCGATATGCACGAAATTTGGCACAAAGTACTAAATTAAGTCTAGAATGATATGTGCAAAGTTTCGTGAAAATCGGTTCAGATTTAGATATAGCTCCCATATATAGCTTCGCCCGATTTTAGGTAAATAGTCCACTAAAGTCCTTGGAAATCTTTTGACTTGCACGAAATTTGGCACAGTGTAATAAATAAGATCTAGAATGATGTTTGCCAAGTTTCGTGAAAATCGGTTCAGATTTAGATATAGCTCCCATATATATCTTCGTCCGATTTAAGGTTAATTGTGCACCAAAGTCCCTATATATCTTTCGATTTGCACGAAATTTGGCACAAAGTACTAAATTAAGTCTAGAATGATATGTGCAAAGTTTCGTGAAAATCGGTTCAGATTTAGATATAGCTCCCATATATAGCTTCGCCCGATTTTAGGTAAATAGTCCACTAAAGTCCCTGGAAATCTTTTGATGTGCATGAAATTTGACACAGAGTTATGAATATGATCGGGAATGATGTCTGCCAAGTTTCGTGAAAATCGGTTCAGGTTTAGGTATAGCTCCCATATGTATTTTCATCCGAATTAAGGTATTTGGTGCACCAAAGATCCTATACATCTTTCGATTTGCACGAATTTTGGTATAGGGTACTGAAATAAGTGTAGAATGATGTTGCTAAGCTTCGTGAAAAGATCCATAGCTAGGCCGATTGACACAATGTACTGATGTTATATAATTTAGTCTCTGAAAGTTTCCCGGAAATCGGTTCAGATATAGATTTATAACAAAACGCGTCTGTTAGGATACATATGTAAAATATACCCAAAGTTGTGAAGTGTATCATATAGTCGGCCCAGTCCGACTTTACTACTTTCCTTACTGTTTTTTTTTTTCTTTTTGAGAATATGCATTGAATCGCTTTCTGAGTCCATTTATGCATATCCGTCCGTCTGTAGATGTTAAATTGTAAGCAAACAGGTCGCATTTAAGATCCGATTTGGATGAAATTTGACACAAGTCACTTATTTGGCCCAAGGACGATCTCTATTGAAATTGAAGAAAATCGGTTCAGATATATTCGTCCGATTTAGGGTGAATGAGGCACCAAAGACCCTATATATCTTTCGATTTGCACGAAATTTGGTATAGGGTACTGAATTAGGTCCAGAATTATATGTCCTAAGTTTCGAGAAAATCGGTTCAGATTTAGATATAGCTCATCCGCTTGCGCAAATACCCATGCTTCTGATCCATATAATAGCACAGGTAGTATCAGCGTCTTGTAAAGTGTGAGTTTGGTCTGGCGGGAGGTGGCCTTGCTTTTGAGTTGTTTGCTCAGACCATAGTAGCATCGGTTGGCCATCACAATCCTCCGAATTTCAAAACTGATGTCATTCGTTTTATTTATGGCGGTACCAAGGTATATAAAGTCTTTAACTACCTCGAAGCTGTAGTTCACAAGTTCCACAGTTGGTCCGAGTCTACTGGACGTCTTGCGCGTTGATACCATCAGCTTGGTCTTCTCGCTGTTTACTGCCAGGCCCACTTTGGCAGACTCCTTTTCAATATGTTCAAAGGTGGCTGTTACCGCTCGCAATGTTCGACCCATTATTTCGATGTCACCGTAGGCGTAGGCGAGTAACATGTGTTGTTTGGTGTATAGAGTGCCATTTCTGTTCACCTTTGCGTCTCGTATGACCTTTTTCAGTAGGATGTTAAAAAGATCACACGACAAACTGTCACCTTGTCTGAATCCTCGTTCGGTACTGAAGAGCTCCGATAGGTCCTTTCCTACTTTAACTGCTGATCTTTTGCAACTTAAAGTTATCATGCATTGCCGTATTAATTTTGCAGGAATGGCGAACGTAGACATGGCTTTAAACACCTCTGAACGGATAGGGCTGTCGATGCGGCTTTATAGTCGACAAATAGGTGGTATGTGTCGATGTGTTTTTCGTGGGTCTTTTTCAGGATTTGGCGCAGAGTGAAAATCTGGTCAATGGTGGATTTGCCAGGTATGAAGCCGTATTGGTATGGTCCAATAATGTCATTGACCACTGGCTTCAGTCGTTCACACAGCACACTTGATAGCACTTTATATGTGATGGGAAGGAGACTTATTCCTCTATAGTTGGCACATATCGTCTTGTCTCTTTTTTCGTGCACGGGACACAGTATGCTGAGGTTCCAATCATTGGACATGCATTCTTCTAGCCAAATTGTACTAACACAGCTGGGGCATGCTACCAGCCGGTCTTGTATAGTTCGGCTGGTAATCCATCGGCTCCTGCTGCTTTGTTGTTCTTGAGCCGATTAATTGCTTTTATAACCTCATATTGGCTAGGTGGTATACACTCTATACCATCATCTCTTATTGGTTCTGGGGTATCCCCTTCACCGCTACTATTTGATACCAGAAGCTTTTCAAACTGCTCCTTCCAGATCCTCAACACGCTGTCTGTACCTGTCACCAGGTTTCCTTCTGCATCTCTACAGGAGGATGTGCCTGCACCAAACTCCTGTACATCTCGAGTTGCTCACGCTCACGTTTTTCTTGTTCTTCTTCTTTTTTCTAAAAACACGTTTCTCCTCTCTCCTTTTCTCCCGATAATTCTCCATCACATTACGTGTTGCTACTGTCCGCAGGGTTGCCCTATACGCTGCGTTTTTCACATCAGTAGCATTACGACACTCCTGATCGTACCATGGGTTTCTTGGTGGTGGTTTTTGGTACCCAATTGTTCTTTTTGCTGCAGTTTGTAGGGAGTGGGCAATTCTTTGTCATTGTGCTTCTATACTATTATCGGGACAAAAAGTGCTTTCTTCAAGCAGAAGGGTAAGTTGAGCGGAGTAGGCCTCGGCTACCTGTTGTATTTGCAGCTTTTCGACGTCGAGTTTCCGTGTTGTGTGAGATCGCACCTTTGCTGCTACATTAAGACGGGTGCGTACCTAGACTGCCACAAGGTAATGGTCCGAATCGATATTCGCTCTTCGGATCGATCGGACGTCTAAAACACTGGATGAATGCCTTCCGTCTATCACAACATGATCAATTTGATTTCTCTTTACTTGATCAGGAGAGATCCAGGTGGCTTTGTGTATATCGAGATGCTTGAATCTGGTGCTGCTAACTACCATGTTTTTTGCTGCCGCGAAGTCAGCTATAATATTCCAAGTGCAGATTCACAGATCGTGGTCCTTTATGCGTTTGCGGGGGTCGACAACATTAGTGGGGTTTGGTTTTCTGTTTCTTAGCTTTTTCATAGTAGGTTGGGATTTCCGAGAGTGGGCAACTAACCCGACGCCTCAACCCATTTTTTTATAGTTCTTATGGGTGAACTCGCAGCACATATTAGCTCACTATTTCATCGGGTGATAAGAATAGCTCCCCAGGTGGCACCGCGGGGAGGTCAGTGTCCAAAATTGAGATGAAAGAGGGACCAAGATAAGCCTGGACTTCGCCATGTTAAAGCCAATCAGAGTCGTTGCTTGGTATCTTTAATCCCCTACGCTCCCATATATATCATTTAGATTTAGCTCCCATATATATTTTCGTCCGATTTAATGTAAATTGTGCACTAAAGACCCAAAGTTTGGCCGACCAGCACGCAATTTTGTACAATGTACAGAAGTTACTATAATTGAATGTTTTGTACGTTGAAGTATTTCTGGCAACCTCTTTTATATATTTGTTTACTCAGGACAAGTGTATTTACAGAAATTTTGTGGTTTTTTCTGTATTTATATTTACACTTGATGTAATTCTGCATGTTCATGGGGATTTTCCTGACTTTGAAAGTAGCAAAGGGTATCATATAGTCGGCCCAGACCGACTTTACTACTTCCCTTACTGGTTTCTAAATATTTCTGTCAAAACTTTTCGCATGGGAGCCACTGTCACTGTTTCACACCTCAAAAATTTATTTAAATTTTGCAAATTAAAAAAAAAGCATCCAATGACCTTGATACAATTTAGCTAATAATTTGCCATATATTTCTAAATATTTCAGCAAAGGTTATCAACGGAAACTCACCGACCAAAGCAGCCAAACACCCAAATTTTGGATTAGTCTTTAAACTACCCTAAACGAAAAAACATGGGTCGTTCGGCATACATTCTTCTGGCGGTAATTTTGATATAAAAAAATAAAACAAAAATAAATATTTTATTAAAAATTTTAATTCCAATTTTAGTGTTCACTAATTACTCTGTTCACTGGGGCATTACAAACACCAAGTCCCACAAAATGTCGTACGGAAATGTGTGCCCTGCAATTAATGGAGACCATGGACATACTCTATCGACAAAGCTCACATGAAATTTTCCAATTCCACAGTTATGACGATATCCAGCCGGAACTTTTGATATGGAAAGAATTAATACCCTATTTGGATATAATGGAACAATTTGATTGGTCGGAATTTCAAAGTCCACTTTTGAGGAGGCAATTTGAAATTTTAATTCGTGAACTTACCCATGCACGCCATGCCACCACCAATGAATTCATTGTGGCCACAAAACGTCTGAAGAGTATTGGTAAATATCGATTTATGTATCAACGTGATGCGGCCAATAAAACCCATCCACCACCATCGGATCTTGTCTCGTACATACGCAACATCAAACCGATTATAAGCAATAGTAAAGATTTGGATGAAATCAAATGGTATTGGAGTGAGTGGCGTAATCGATTACCCGGCGATGTGAAACATGCTCTCAACGTGTATATTCAATATTATCAGAATATGTCCACAGTGACTATGCCAGCATCCAGTGTTTGGTATTCCCAATATGAGGATGGCAAAATGTTGGAAGAATTCGAAAATGTTATGGAGGCCATTGGACCTTTGTATCGCCAACTACATAGCCAATTGAGGCAATCACTGTGGAATAAATATGGTGATGATATTATTCCTTCGACAGGACTCATTCCACATCATCTCATGGAACAGGCCTTCTATGAAGCCTGGAAAAAAGATTCTGTTTTCGGCAATCCTTATCCTGACAAAAAATTGCCCAATCTTAAACATGAATTGAATGAAAGGCGATATGTTCCATTCGATTTTATTACAGCAGCTACAAAATTTTTTGAAGGAATGGGATTTGATCGTTTGACTAAGTAAGTATTTGAATAAAGTGTTTTTTTAAATATTTATTTTTTCAAAAAAAGGTGAGAATTTTTTAAAAATACTTTTTTAACGACTTACAATAGGCGTGGATTTTTAAACCCTTCACCACACTGTGGTACAGGGTATTATGTCTGTGTCCATATGTTTGTAACAGGCAAAAGGAATCGAGATAGACCCATGGTTCCTTTTGTGAATATGCATAGTATCACTTACTGAGTCGATTTACGCATGTCCGTCGGTCCGTCCGTGCGTCCGTCCATGTATTTTTGTGAACAAAGTGCAGGTCGCATTTATGATCCGATTTGGAATAAATTTGACATAGGTCACTTATTTGGCGCAAGGACGAACCCTATTTAAATTGTGGAAAATCGGTTCAGATTTAGATATAGCTCCCATATATATATTTTCGTAATGTAAATGGTGCACCAAAGTCTCTTTGGCACAGCGTAATGAATTAGGTCTAGAATGATCTGTGTTAAGTTTCGTGAAAATCGGTTCAGATTTAGATATAGCTCCCATTTATATTTTCGTCCGATTTAATGTAAATGATACACCAAAGTCTATATATATTTTTCGATTTGAACGAAATTTGGCACAGCGTAATGAATTAGGTCTAGAATGATGTGTGTTAAGTTTCCTGAAAATCGGTTAAGATTTACACATAGCTCCCACATATATTTTCGTCCGATTTAATGTAAATGGTGCACCAAAGTCCCATATATCTTTCGATTTGAACGAAATTTGGCACAACGTAATGAATTAGGTATAGAATGATGTCTGTTAAGTTTCGTGAAAATCGGTTCAGATTTTGATATAGCTCGCATATATATTTTCGTCCGATTTAATGTAAATGGTGCACCAAAGTTCCTATATATATCTAGATTTGCTTCTATATCTGACCAAATGAAAAATTTAGTATCGATTGCAGAATGACATGTTTATGGATCCAATTTCATTTTACCGGTCCTTTAAAAACGCGACGTCTGTTAAGATTCATCTGTTGAATATACCCAAAGTGGTGAAGGATATCATATAGTCGGCCCCGTCCGACTTTACTACTTTCCTTACAGGTTTAAAAATACGGATTATGTAAACCTTAATACAAATTTCAGAAATTTATCGTCATTATGGCTAATGAGGGTGTATACACTTTAACACTTATTACTTATTTCTCCAAACTTAGTTCAAATTCGAAGATGGGAAAATCGGTTCAATCCTTCTGGAACCTCCCAATAGAGACTAGGTCTAAATGCGGCTATAGTTCATTATCGAACCTTACGTTCTAATTTTTTATCTCGCTATCCTCCGCAGGTGAAATGATTACAACAGAGTCTCAGAGCCAAACTCAAAACGCGGAACAAATCAGATAACTATTTTAATATAAACCAGTAAGGAAAGTAGTAAAGTCGGACGGGGCCGACTCTAGGATACCCTTCACCACTATGGGTACATTAAACAGGACTATTAACATGAAATTGGATGAAATAAAATATGTGATATTTATCTAAATGTGAATCTACCTAGATTTGTCCATAAAGTGTGTAAATCGACTTCAAACAAATATAAATAGGTCATCCGGTTGACTATGTCTGTACTTCTAGAAAACGCAACTACGTAATTCTATGCTCAATTTTGTACGTTGTGCAAAATTTGATGTCAATCTGACTAACATGAGGAGTATGATGCCCAATTTGCTTGATATCGGGCGAAAAAATATATGTAAGCTATATCCACATATTAAGCGATTTCAAACAAACTTGTCACAGGTTAGGTTATACTAACTTTAGAACGTTTTGTTCCAAATCAATCTATAATAAAATGGAGCTATATCTAAATCTGGACCGATTTTCACGAAACAAGGCAGACATCACTCTAGGCTCAATTCAGTACGTTATGCCAAATTTCGTGCAAATCGAAAGATATATAGCGACTTTGGTGAACCATTTACATGAAATCGGACGAAACTATATGTGGGAGCTATATAGAAATATGGACCGATTTTATCGAAACTTGGCAGACATCACTCTAGGCTCAATTCAGTACGTTGTGCCAAATTTCGTTCAAATCGAAAGATATATAGGGACTTTGGGGGCCTATTTACATTAAATCGGACGAAATTATATATGGGAGCTATATCTAAATCTGGACTGATTTTCACGAAACTTAACAGACATCATTCTAGACCTAAATGATTAGGCTGTACCAAATTTCGTGCTAATCGAAAGATATATAGGGACTTTGGGGCCCCATTTACATTAAATCGGACGAAACTATATATGTGAGCTATATCTAAATCGGGACCGATTTTCATGAAACTTGGCAGACATCATTCTAGGCCCAATTAAGTACGTTATGCCAAATTTCGTGCAAATCGAAGGATATATAGGGACTTTGGGGCACCATTTACATGAAATCGGACGAAACTATATATGGGAGCTATATCTAAATCTGGACCGATTTTCTTGAAACTGGGCAGACACCATTCTAGACTCAATTCAGTACGTTATGCCAAATTTCGTGCAAATCGAAAGATATATAGAGACTTTGGGGCACCATTTACATGAAATCGGACGAAACTATATATGGGAGCTATATCTAAATCTGGACCGATTTTCACGAAACTTGGCAGACATTACTCTAGGCTTAATTCAGTACGTTATGCCAAATTTCGTGCAAATCAAAAGATATATAGGGACTTTGGGGCACCATTTACATGAAATCGGACGAAACTATATATGGGAGCTATATCTAAATCTGGACCGATTTTCACGAAACTTGGCAGACATCATTCTAGACCTAAATGATTAGGCTGTACTAAATTTCGTGCAAATCGAAAGTTATATAGGGACTGTTTACATTAAATCGGTTAAATATATATATGGGAGCTATATCTAAATCTGAACCGATTTTTCCCAATTTCAATAGGGTTCGTCCTTGGGCCAAATAAGTGACCTATGCCAAATTTCATCCAATTCGGATCATAAATGCGACCTGTACTTTGTTTACAATTTAACATGGACAGACGGACGGACGGACGGACGGACAGACGGACATGCGTAAATCGACTCAGAAAGTGATTCTTTGCATATTCTCAAAAGGAACCATGGGTCTATCTCGATTATTTTTGCCTGTTACAAACATATGCACAAAGACATAATACCCTGTACCACAGCGTGGTGAAGGGTATAAAAAGGGGGTTATATGGGGACTACCCCCAAAAGGGGTAGGACGATTTGTTACCATATGCGACTACAAAATACCAAATTGCAGCAAATTCGATTGAAAAGCGCGCTCAAGAACCCCAAAATACCGAAAATTGCGGGTACCCTTATATGGGGGCTATCCGAAAAAAAGGACCTATACTCAAAATTTTTGGTGGAGAGATTTGCTAAGCAATAAGAACTCAAAGTACCAAATTTCAGCGAATTCAGCTGAAAACGCGCTCAAGAACCCCAAAATACCGAAAATTGGGGCACCCTTATATGGGCTACCCAAAAAATGGACCTATATTTATAATTTTTTGTGGAGGGATTTGATACCCAATAAGAACTCAAAGTACTAAATTACAGCCAATTCGGTGAAAAAATGCGGTCAAAACCCCTCCAAAACTGAAAATTAGGAGGTACCGTTATATGGGGCCTACCAGAAAAAGTGGACCTAAAGTTATGATTTTTAGTTGAGAAATTTGGTATCCAAAAACGAGCCCATTTTACCAATTTTCAGCGAATTCGGTTGAAAAACGCGCTCAAGAACCCCGAAATACTGAAAATTTGGGGGTACCCTTATATGGGAGCTATGCCTAAACGTGGACCGATATATAGCCATCATCGAACTTGCCCTGTCTGCAGACAAAAGACTCTATGCAAAATTTTGGCGTTCTATCTCAATTCGTTTAGACGCTAGAGTGATTACAACAAACAGACGGACAGACGGACATGCTTAGATCGTCATAGGATTTTACGCTAATCAAGAATATATA